TCTCGGAACTCCCCGGCCCCTCTCTCTCTCTCGACTCTCTCACACACAGTGAGCCCTCTTTCTTTTCTTTCTCTTTTTTTTTTCAATCTCTCTCCCGTGGCTGCTTTGTCCTCTTTTTGTTTCTCTTTTCTTTTCTTTGCCTTCTAAGATTATAACCTAATCACTTATTATATTATACAAATACAACATAAATACAACATACATAAATATGATATATATTTTATCAATATATAAAATACTTTTTTTTTATATATAGAAAATATAAATATATAAATATTCGGATTAATTATATATATAATAAAATATCACATTAAATTCTTATGTATCCACGTAACTAATAAAGCCAAAAATAAAATAAGGTAATAATAATAATAAATAATGACTTAAGAAAAATTAGGGTCACTACATACCAGGTCTCTGTGAGAAATTTGTGCAACAAGTCGTGCTTTATATCTTATAATTTCATTTTGCTCAATGTGTTTTCGAACAAACACCCATTTATATCCCACATGCTGTATCCCTTCAGGGATTTGGACTACAAGTCTAAATACTTCACGTTTTGTAAGCTAGTTTAACTCTGCTTGTATTGCTTCTTTCCACATTAGCAAATCATTTTTCTGTCGACATTCCTCAACAATTTGTGGTTCATTGTTATCATCACTTTTGACAATATTTTTAGCATTACTTATGTTAATGTCAAGAGCAACTTTAAACGAAAATATGTTATCGACAACAATTTGATTTCTATCCCAAACTTCTCATATACTCATATAATATATTCAGATCTCATTATTTTCAAGTACCTTTTCTACTTCAGGGAATAACTCTTCAAGAGATTTCTCTTCTGGAGGTTTTTCTTCAGGAGGTTCATAAGTAGGAGATTTGGATAGACTTACTATAGCTTGTTTTGTAGTTCTAGCCTCTTCAAGGGTGCTTACATTTATGGGTATGATCTCTTTAGGAGATCCATGTATGGTTTCTTCTAGAGTACCAACTGTTTGTTTTTGAGCTTTCCTCTTTCGAGGAATTTTATTTTTTGCATCGATGGGTCTCTCATGCTTCTGGCGTGCCTTAGATTCATTTGCTACTACACCCACTAATTGTCCGATAGGAACTTCAATTCTTACTGGGGTATTAGCTGCTGGTGTATAAGATTTTTCATTTTTTTTTTTGTGTGTGTGTAAATGAATGCATTTGGTAACTGATTTGCAATACTTTGCAAATAAATGATCATTTGAATTTCTAGTTCACATTGATTAATACAAGGATCAAAATGAGATAGCGTCGAAATATTCCAAGTGATTTCTTGTCGAGTTTCAGAATGCGACTTGTCTCCTCCTAATAATGGGAAAATTGTTTTATCAAAATGACAATCCTCAAATCGTGCCTTAAACATATCACCAATCAAAGGTTCTGGATATCTAATGATTGATGGAGAATCAAAACCAATATAAATTCCACGGCTACATTGTGGACCCACATTAGTGCGCTGTGAAGGTGCAGTAGGAACATAAACCACGCGACCAAACACTCTAAGGTGACTAACATTTGATGGTTGACTAAATACAAGTTGTAATGACGAGTACTCATGATATGCAGTTGGTCTGACATGAATCAAATATGATGCATGCAACATCGCATGACCCCATACTGAAACAAGTAATTTGTTTTTCATAAGCAAAGGTCAAGCAATTAACTGAAGTCTCTTAATGAAAGATTCAGCTAAACCATTTTTGGGTATGAGTGTGTGCAATAGGGTGTTCAATATCAATGCTAATGGACATATAATAATTAACAAAAACCCCAGATTTAAATTCACTGGTATTATCAAGACAAATTGTCTTGATAAGGATGGCCTGGAAATATGCTCGCAATCTAATTAATTGAGCAAGAAGTCTAGCAAATGCAACATTACGAGTAGAATGTAAATAAACATGTGACCATCTGGTTGATGCATCTATTAAAACCATAAAATAACGAAATGGTCCACAAGAAGGGTATATAGGTCCACATATATCCTCTTGAATTCTTTGCAAACATGATGGAGATTCAACAATTACTTTTGTGGGTGATGATCTGGTAATTAATTTCCCTTACGAACATGTATAATATAGATAATCACCTGGTAAAAGAATCTTCTGGTTCTTTAATGAATGTCCATGTGAATTTTTAATTATTTGACACATCATTATATATCCCGGATGACCGAGTCGATCATTTCATAACATAAATGTTTTTGGGTCATAGTGCTTCTGGTGTATGACAATATGTGACTCAATTATTTTATTGTTGTATAATATAATCCAGATGAAAATGCAAGAAGTTTTTCTAAATCTCGCTTCTGGCTAGAATTAGTTGAAGTAATTAATAAATACGCTTCTTGACCTTTATTTATAATTTCAATATGACAAATATTACGACATATATCTTTGAAACTTAATAGATTTCTTCTAAATCTGGTAGAATACAAAGTTTCAGCAATATGAATTTTTGTTTTGCAGAACCTGAAATTGTATTGACATTAGTTTTTTCCATGATTAATTGTATAAAATATTTTGCATCACGTAAGATTGTGTGTGTGGTTGCGCTGTTCACTAGACAGATATCATCACCAATTATTTTGGAGTTAGTCAATGCATCAATGAAAGTCATGCATATAAAAAACTGAAATTCATTATTCTCTTAACTTAAAGTAAGAAAATACAAACTATTAAACCTAAAAATACAAACTTCAAAATCATAATCAAAATAGGATAATACATCATGATATCTAGAAAATCAAGTTAATCAGTATGAACATTTTTATCACCAATTAAATGATTAATTTTCCTTCAAAATCTTCAAAGAAATCGGAAACATCAAGTTGATTAATGCCAATGGGTTTATAATGATCTGTGAAATGCATCTCAATTCATTTTCCCTTTTCTTTTATTGAGACTTGATAAAGATCCACCAAATGTTTAGGCATATGACAGGTACGCGACCAATGCCCTGTCATGCCACATCTATAACAAGCATTTTCATGATTCTTGAGAGGTTTATTTTGTAAACCTTTTTCCTTTTCTTGTGATGTTCTGGAATTATTCCATTTCTAGTGGAATGACATGTTATTTTTTTGAACATATCCCCTACGGATTTGGTAATTATTTCTACGTCGGCCATATCCAAAACCATGACCTTTCCCTCGTCAATAACCATGAAATGTAACCTAATTCACTTCAGGAAATGAAGAAGAACCGGTTGGACGAGATAAATGATTTCTCAATAACAATTGATTAGTTTGTTTAGTCTGCTTAGTCACAAAAAAGAATGAAATCAATTCAGAGTACTTTGAAAAACGACACTCTCTATCTATATTGCTGTTGTAGGAGCACATTATCAGCGTAAAATGTGGAGAATATTTTTTCAAGTATATCTTCTTCAATAATTTTTTTACTACATAATTTTAATCGAGAGATTATTTTAAATAAAGCAGGGTCGTACTCACTAATTGATTTATAATCTTGCAAACTCAGGTGCAACCAATCATAATAGACTCTTGGGAGGATTACGGCTTTTTGGTGCTCATACCTCTCTTTCAAATTATTCCATAGGATTAGTGAATCTTTTACTATGAGGTACTCATTTTTTAATTCTTCTTGGAGAAGATGATGAATGAATATCATTGTCTTTGCGCGATCCTACAGGGATGTTTCATTTTCATGTTTTATGGTATCTTCAAGATTCATTACCTCAAGGTAGATCTTAACATCAAGAATCTATGATAAATAATTTTTTTTTAGAAAAGTCGAGAGTTGAAAATTTCAATTTTGAAAGATTTGACATATTTATTAAATTTAACAAAAACAATATATTCAATATCATGTAAATATATTAAGAAAATATAAATTTTGCTTTAGAATTTATTTATACTTACTATAACCACCCAGTAACTTTGTCTTTTCAGCTGAATAGAATCTTGTCCTGATAACGTATTATAAAACTAAAGAAAATAAAGAAGAAAGAGTCACAATGAAAGAAGAAACAAAGAATCACACATATAATACATAATTTTTTTATATTTTTATTACCATGCAAACTCACCTATTTATGGGTGATAAAACCTTTACTATTCACCACTATACATCATACCATATGGTTTACTACATGAGACATGTAAAACTTTTTTCTATTTCCACTTTGGCACAAAACTTATTAGAATTCCAATTGCATCTTTTTTTATGGTTATCCAAATATTTCACAACAATTATTATTATTATTTGACAATAGCTTATTTAGGTCTCATTTGGGAATAAGTTATTTTAGTAATTTTTTGACTTTTTACAAAATGATATGTAACAAAGTAGAAAGAATGATGTGATAATTTATAGTATTTTTTAATATTTTGACTAAAATAATTACTCCCCAAATGAGGTCAAACTGAAAAAAAAAAAGAAAGTATTTTATCAAACCCATGGAGCCAGACGCACCTAACGGAAATTGATAAGCTTCTCTCAAAAGTTAAGGCTTGTCAGGAGGCAAACAAAACTTATCAGATGGGTATTGCCTTTGGTAAAACATTTTACCAAAAACCAATCATTTTAACTTTCTTTGTATCAACCAGGAAGTTAGAAGTAATCAGAATTCTTAGCATTTAAAGAATGTGCTTTGCTTCAGTGCTTCATGTTGTTGTTGTTGGGTCCCAAATCTTAGTGGCTAGTCATGGGCTTGTCCCATCATGTAAAAAGATAGAAAGTCATCAATGGCTTGTTGATCTATTCATCTCAAAAGCCCTCTTTGCAATCCTGACTAGCCCTCTCTCTCTCTCTCTCACCATCCATGTCTCTCTTTGTCTAACAATTTAGAGCACACTTTTTTAAAAATAAAATAAGTATAAAAATATAAAAATAGACCACAAAATAAAACATAAAATAAATTAATATAATTTTTTTAAATGAATCTCATTAATAAATTTTATAAAATTTTATTATTTATATATATTGTTTGATTCGGTGTTTAATTTTTATTTTAGTAGCTATATAACTGAGAAAGGCCTTTGTACCTATCTCTATGTTGTCTTTTTAATGATCTCATAGGACCTTAACCTTTGAAGTTCTGAAAAGATTGAAGATTAATACTAATGGGTTATTCTCCTGTAGCTCCAACCTCTCCTCAGTTGTATCCTCAATCAATTCAGATTAAACTATACCAGGCTTTCATATTCTCAATCCCAATTCTCTTCTCCATAATTCTTTTTCTCTTGTTTTACTTGTTCTACCTCAAGAGGAGGGCTTCCACAGCCTCTGTCTCCTCCCCCCAAACAATTCTACCAAGGAGCTTACTTGAATTTCCATTTTCCTCTTCAGTAAGACTCTCTCTCTCTCTCTCATGCATGAAGAGTTGAGTTGCATATAAGCTTGTTTGAAATGGTCTAATTTTACAATTTATTTGCTGTGTTTATGTCTGTAGAGTGAGATGGGTTTCAAGGGGAGCCTCAAAGACAAGCTTCCAATAATCTTGTTTGATGAAGATTTATCAAAGACAAGGGATTCAATGTAAGTTTTTATTTTTTTATATTTTCTTTCATTAAAGTTTGTAAAATGTCTTCCCGATAAGTATGCTTATCATCCTAACGAATAATTTGTTGTTTCATTTGGTACAAATCGAAGAGGAATACAATACAAACTAAAAAAATCTTATAAATTATTTTTATAGACTGATGTGACACCTATTATATTATTAAAGTATGCCTTAATTTTTATAATTTTATTATTGCATGACACATCAGTTAATAAAAAAATCTTGTTAAATTTGTTAATTTGTATAATATTTTTCAAATCAAAACGAAAAAAAAAAATAAAATCTAAATATGTAATCTGTGGAAATTACATGGTGACAAGGGTTGTGCTCATCATTGAAAAAAGTATATTAGTTATTGAGTAATTATTCAGTATTCTAAGATTGTTAATTCAATATGTTAGATGAGGTACTTTCAATCATAAAAACATTTAAAATGGGGTGATATTTTTAAATCAATAAAAACATTTAAAATGGGATAACTTAACTCATCTTGATGAATTGAAATGGAGACCATCTTCTTTTATACAACTTGATTAGTAAAAAAATACCACATGCACATGTAACGATAGCATTTTGAGAGTATTGAATAATTGTCATCAGGTATTAGTATGCCTTAATTTTTAAAATTTTATTATTGCATGACACATCAGTTGATAAAAAAATCTTGTTAAATTTGTTAATTTGTATAATATTTTTCAAATCAAAACGAAAAAAAAAAAAAAAATCTAAATATGTAATCTGTGGAAATTACATGGTGACAAGGGTTGTGCTCATCATTGAAAAAAGTATATTAGTTACGGAGTAATTATTCAGTATTCTAAGATTGTTAATTCAATATGTTAGATGAGGTACTTTCAATCATAAAAACATTTAAAATGGGGTGATATTTTTAAATCAATAAAAACATTTAAAATGGGATAACTTAACTCATCTTGATGAATTGAAATGGAGACCATCTTCTTTTATACAACTTGATTAGTAAAAAAATACCACATGCACATGTAACGATAGCATTTTGAGAGTATTGAATAATTGTCATCAGGTTAGTCAATGAAATTGAAATATGGTTATTTTAGTGTCCCATGTACTATGACTGATCAACCTAATCACATTCATGAACATCTCACAGGTGTAGTGTTTGTTTGGGAGAATTTGAGATGAAGGAGGAGTTGCACCAGATCCCAACATGTAAACACATGTTTCACGTTGATTGCATACGTTACTGGGCCCATTCAAATCCAACTTGTCCACTCTGTAGATGCCGAATCATCACCACCAATGGCCGAGGCCAATCACAGCCACCTGTTGTACCCAATCAGAACCCACAGATGGTTTCTGATCCAGAGCAACAAGAGCAAGGAGTTAGAGTTGACTCAGATATGGCTAATAATTTAAGAGAGCATCAAATGGTAGTACTAATGGAAGGATCATCCAGTACTAGTGGTGGAACATCCACTTGTTTGGAGAGTTAGATGGGTTATCCACATCAAGATTCAGTAGCTCTTACAGTCCGTTTGGCAAACTAGAAAAGAAAAGAAAGAGGATGGTATCCATTTTTCTTTAAAAGTTGGAGCAAAAAGTCATTGATGAACATAGGACATGCCTTCTATACCAAGTTGGAGCAAAAAATCACTGATGCACCAAAAGAGCGAGTCCGCATAGATTTTAATGATCTTTTTATAGATCTCTTGATTCCTCTGTCCCAAACATTTCTGACTTCTGGATCATTAAAATTTTATTTGTGCAATAATTTCAAGATATGTTTCAGTGGATATATGTGATTTGAGATAGGGCAGATAAGAAAATTTAGGGATAGAGAATCCTTTGCTATATAACTAGTCAGTGAAATGAGAAAAATGAATTATAATGTCTCGGGAGGGTCTGATTTTGTTCATTCACCTTTAAGAATGAAATCAAGCGTAGATTATAGGGGTCACAACCTCTCTTTCGCTCAAAAATCTTGTGTAACACAGCAGGTAAGGTCATATTTTTTATGTGTTGATAATAGTCCTCTAAAAAAAATGAAAATTATATAGAAGTCTTTATTTAACACATGCGAAATCAATTTTTTTGTTAGAGAAAAAGAAGAAGTTTCGAAATTTCAATTTCTTCAATTGAAAGTCATGAATTACAATTTAATAAACAAAGAAAAATTCATGAATTCACCCTTTCTTATAATGCATGAGCAACTTTTTTATTTTTATTTTGGTGCTCAAGTCTTCCCCCCAATAATTACTACATAAAACAAAGAATGAGAATAGAATTGTGAAAATCATAACAACCATTAACATATTAAAATGCCCAAGAGGATACCAAGTAAAGAAGCCATGATAGAACTACTGATGTCAAGGTGATCTTTGTAGGCAACTTCCCTTTATCACTTCTTAACACCATGGCTTCATAAACAGGCCAACTATTCAGCACTCCAAAACCAGCTATGAACAATTGCGTAAACACATCTTCAAACCTCAATCCATTGCTCAAGACTTGAATGATGCCAGAGACAAACGAAACTAGGTTGATTATAGCAGCCATTGTTATCGGCAAAAACATTTGTGATTCAACTCCAAATTCAAAAATTCCTTGCTCGTATCGCTTGCCTTGTTCGTTGTCAACCACCTTGCTTGTCACATTGAATCCAAATTTGGTTAAGCCTAAGGACTTGAAGAAGTATTCAACTAGTCCAAAGGAGAAACTTGAGACCCCCCTAAGTATCCACATTCTCTGAGAGTTCCACCACCTTTGGATTGTTCCTCCGGCTAACATGAAGTCGATAAAATCTTGTGCGTAGGCTTCAAGGAAAAGAAAAGCATACATGAAAAACCAAGGATCTGACACCTGCATACCAAAGCTTTTCTCAATGAAAAAAAAAATCATTAAAAACAAATGAAACCGAACATAACATCACCACAAACAAGTATATAGATTTCAACCATAAAATCAATCAATTGGTAATCATGTCAAACACGGATAGATTGATCTTACAAATCATGAATTAGTGTGTTGACATACCTTTGGGAAGATTGAGAAAGAGTTGAGGAGAGCTAGCTGTGGTAAGAAAGCATACGTAGTTATTGGAATCCCCGAAATGGGCCACAAGGAGTAGTGTGTAAAACAAAGGGCATGGAAGGGGTTCAAGGACCATAAGCCCAAAGTTAATGGGCTATTCTTGCTAAAGCCCACTTCAAGGAGGCCCATTGACCATCTCATAATTTGATACAGCACATCATTCAGAGTCACTGGAACATCCCCCAAAAATGCAGCTCTTTTGGGATGGCAGAAAATGGATCTCCACCCTTCACAATGCAACCTGTAACTGGTGTAGAAGTCCTCAACCAATGATCCATACCTATATCCCATCTGCAATTGGTTTAAAATGATGGTATTAGAATACATATTAGTGTCTATAGTGTGGTCATATATTGACCGATACCAGATAATATCAAGCAGTATATTGGTGAATATCAATATCAGAAATTCGAAATCTTGATATGTATTGGCTGATATTTAAAACATTACTTATCAAATATTGGGTCTTAATCCCTTTATGTATGTTGATTAATCCCACCTTGCCTACGTTTAGTAAATATTTCCCTCATACTTGACCCATTCACTAGATCCCTCCCTCACTTGAACCCCGCTCCGTTTAGTTTTACAACTTACATATATCCAAAAAAAAAAAAAAATTTAAAGATATGAAGCATAATCGGGTCGGGGTTACTTTCCCTCACTCCTCCGATAACTGTCTTTTCTTTTTTCTTTTCCACCCCAAACCCATTGCCGTCCCTGATCTAAAACAGTTAAAATATGAACATAGAAATCCAAAACAGTGATAGTCATAGGAGTCTTACCTTGGAGCCCCATTTGGTTTGGGCATCAAAATTGCAGCCAGCAACTTGGTACGCCAGGGACAAAACTTCTTTGGACCGGATGGGCTTATTTGGAACATGATCTGGGCTTAGTTCAGGATTTTCTGGGGCCACAAATGAAAATGGGCCTCCAAAGAAAGCCCGGCGACGAAAAAAGCCTCCGGTGCCCATATGGACTGGGCCCCACAAGCCGTCCATTCCATGAGAATCAATTTGAAAGGGATATTTCAATTCAGAAGCATAAATGTCATCCTTGTTGAGGCCATGGAAGTATTGAGGAAACTGAACGAAAGCTAGCCTGGGGTCCATGTGAGGGTCCAAGAGATAACATAGAGCACGAAGAGGGGTTTGTGGATCATTTGAGAACATGTCACAGTCCAGGGTTAGGACTATTGGTGCATTGGTCATGGTCGCCGATACTCGAAGCTTCATAATTTGCACAAAAAAATGTTAATATTAGCGACATATAATTCAATTATAGAAAGTTGCTCAGAATACTAGCAAAGAGTGTGGCCTAGGGGTGGGCATTGACTAGGTCGTGCCAGTTTCGGGCACTTCATAGCAAGAACATGTGTGTTATCACAAACTCGTTCGACCCAACATCAGACATTTTTTAAATTCTAAGCTTAATTCTAAAAGACTTCTTAAATCCCAAGCTTAGATACTTAACCTGATGTATATAAATTACTAAATTTTTTAGTCTTTGGAAGGCTATTAAATTAATTTAGGCCTTTTAGGCCTCGTTTGGGAAGCGCCTGATTTAGTCAAAAAGTTACTAAAAAAATCAAAAAGTCAACAACCCATATAAAAAAGTCAAAGATTTTTTTTTCTCTCTACTTTTTGCACATCTTTTCGTAAAAAGCCGAAAAGGCATCCCAAATATACTCGTTTTTTTGAGCTAATATTTTAGCCAAAAAGTCAAAAAGTTACTAAATTAGCATGCTCCCAACCGAGGCCTATATATATACATAGGCCAAGCAAACCTAAACTAAAATGCAAAACAAATTATATAATATTAATGGAGAATTGTATTATGCACACCCTATACTATATGACCAATTTTCTTCTTTGACATTATTTTGAGATCTTTAATTTTGATTTTGGTTATGACATTTTTTTTAATTATGCCTCAAAAAATATATTCTGCATACTTTGCCGGTGTGTACCATAATCTTTCTCAACATAATACATATTAAAAAAAAAAAGGGGGGGGGGGGGGGG